ATCCGGAAGAAATCCTGGATTCTGGATCACTTTGAAATTTTAGTTAACATTGTGGTAAATGGGGCCAAAAATTTTGTTTCTCAATATCTCGGTTAATTATTGACCAAACCCCATGAAATTTGACTCAGGGATGGACAATGGGATCCTCTTTCATATTCCAAAGGCTGATCCGGATCTGATCCAGAAGACTGATTTTATCGCAATTTATATAAAAAATGGGGGTAGTCCTTGGCGGAGGTCTGCGCTCTCTGAGTGCTTTTCTAGTTCTGTTTAAAATCCTTTTTATTTCACCATAACTTTCTGTATATATATTTTTTCTTTTCCCTACACTGTAAATAATAAATCCACAATTTTTAGTTAAACCTTAAACCTCTTATTTTTTCCCCTTCCCTTTCTCCCCTGGCAGAGGTGATGTAACAGTATTCAGGATTAGTTTCATTGGACTTTAAGTGGGTTTAACTGTTGGATATAACACATGTTGTGTTACAGTTTTGACTCTACAAACATGTTCAGAAGTGTAAGTGTTTCTTGTATTAGTTTAGTTCAGATTTCAGTTTCTCTCAAATGTGAATGCTCCTGGATGTGTTTAGAAGTTCTGTATTAAACAAAACTTGGACTATTTTTAACTATAAATATTGTAGAAGAGCTGGACATAGAGTTTCTTTTGGATACACTTTTACTGTTTTATTTCATGTTCAAAGTTTATTTGATTCATTTAATGTTTTATACATCACAAAACTGCTCTAATGTTCAGATTTGTAGCTGATATTTATTTGCAATTTGAAAGTTTGGTGTAAATTATCATTAACAAAGGGTTTTTTTGAAAGAGAGTGAAATGCTGAATAAATGCATCATGTAAGTAAAAAAATAATCGTTTGAATAATCTTGACTTTATTGATCAAAATAACTTTAACTTCTTGGGTTCTTTTTAAAGACAATGTAGTAAAGTGTATTGACCTTATGGACATGTCTCTGCTGCTGCTGCATCTTCAGAACTGTCCTGGTGTTGATGTTGAAGTGTCGTATACATTTACTGTTTTGTCTTTAAAAAGAAAGAAAGTACATCAAAAGAAAAAAATGAACATCTTTGGCTTGATTGACCAAAATAATCGTGATCATGATTTTTTTCTCAGCGCGCATGTATACAGGATATGGTTAATAACCGGGACACTGATGAACACACTCAGTGTGTGTATGTGTGTGTATGTGTTGTGTGAATGTGAAGTGTAAATGTGTTCGCTTTGCTTCATCCATCCTCTTTTCATAGCTGCATGTTTGTGTCTGTGTTGTTTGTTGTTTTGTGATTTGAATGTGCAGGTTTGAAATAAATAAATAACTTCCTGTATCACCACATGACATCACAAGGTGGAACAGTGTTTTCAGTTTGAGAGAAGAACTTATCTTAAATGTGCAGGGTTTATATGTTAAACATGTGACTGAAACAAGTCCAGCTCTGTTTGTGATGAGGAAACATTATAACACAGGAAACAGTGGAATATAGAGCCTTTAAAATATGGAAACATTTTCCCAAATCAAAATCACAAAATCTGTTAGAATATTTTGAATTCATGTATCCAAAATCTTTATCTGTTTTATTGACTCAACCTTCAGTCAAATCCTCCTGGTGTCTTCTTTCTCACAGCAACCCAGAAGTGTCTTGCCAAAGGACAACAGACAGTTTGAGCAGCAGGGATTGAACCCCCACCCCCACCGCCTCCCTACAGTCTCGTCTCAGCTCAGCGTTCGGGTTGTGACGCTTTGATCACGCACAAATTCAAATTGTTTTTGTAAATTGATGTGATCAAAGTTTGCCCCAAAGGTCAAATAATCCTTAAGGAGATTTAGAATTTTCACAGAAATGAACGAAAATAAAGACGGAATTAAGACGCCATCTGTTGTTGACGAGATTTAGTGCAAATGATTTTAAACCCACCGGAGAGAGAAGACTGACATCTGAACTGAAAACACACGCAAGGAGGGCATCTGACACACACAGAGGGCATCTGACACACACAGAGGGCATCTGACACACACAGAGGGCATCTGACACACACAGAGGGCACCTGACACACACAGAGGGCATCTGACACACACAGAGGGCATCTGACACACACAGAGGGCACCTGACACACACGGAGGGGAGGGCATCTGACACACACAGGAGGGCATCTGACACACACAGGGAGGGCATCTGACACACACAGGGAGGGCATCTGACACACACAGGGAGGGCACCTGACACACAGGGCATCTGACACGGGAGGGCACTGACACACATGGGAGGGCATCTGACACACACAGGGAGGGCATCTGACACACACAATGGGGAGGGCATCTGACACACACACGGGGAGGGCACCTGACCACACACAGGGGAGGGCATCTGACACACACACGGGAGGGCACCTGACACACAGGAGGGCATCTGACACACACACACAGGGAGGGCATCTGACACACACGGGGAGGGCATCTGACACACACAGGGAGGGCATCTGACACACACAAGGGGGAGGGCACTGACACAAGGGAGGGCACCCTGACACACACAAGTGATGGGAGGGCATCTGACACACAGGAGGGCATCTGACACACACAAGGATGGGAGGGCATCTGACACACAGGGAGGGCATCCTGACACACACAAGGATGGGAGGGCATCTGCAACACACAAGGAGGGCACCTGACACACACAAGGAGGGAGGGCACCTGACACACACGGGGAGGGCACCTGACACACACAAGGAGGGAGGGCATCTGACACACACAAGGAGGGGAGCCTCTATTTGGACGCCTTTGCAACTGTCGCATGCTTGCAATTCGCACAAAGTTTGTTGCGATGGTGGACGAGAATCCACGACCAGTTCGCCGCAAAAGAAAGTCAGTTTTTGAGGTCACTGAAAGAAGAAGAGAAGAAGAGGGAAAGGAGCGAAGACAAACTGAGGTGATTCTTGGAGATTCCTTCCAGGGATTGCGCGACTGAAGCAGACGAAGGGTCTAAAAACTGACGCGTCGGTCGCTAAAATATTTCTCAACAGTAATTCTGAATGTGCACTGGATGTAAACACGCGTGATTTTTAGAGTAAGGAGGCGGGAGGAGGAGATGTTTCTACTGATGGAGCTGTGGAGGAGGACGGTGGTGTCACGCATGCACATTTGAAAAAGGACTGTGGCTGTATTTCTCTTTTCTTAAACAATCCTCTGTACAACCTTTAAAAGTGCATTGTGTGACTTTTCTTGTGGAGGGTCCGTCAAATGCTTTTCTCCATGGAGATGTTATTGACCTGCACTCCGTCATATGAAAGTGTGTGTGTGTGTGTGTGTGTGAGTGATGGTGGTTTTCGGAGGGGCCGATGGTGCAGATTGGCAGCTGTGCTTCTGTCAGTTTGCCCCAGGGCAGCTGTGGCTACAGTAGTAGTTGACCACCACTGAGTGCAGAGTGAATGAATAATGAACTGTAAAGCATCTTTGAGTGTTCAAAAGAGCGCTGTATAAAACTGATGCATTATTATTATTATTTTTCAATTTTAGTGCATTTGTCTTGGAAAAAATCGTGTGTTTTTTATATATTTAATATTTATTGGGATTTTAGCCAAGTGTGATGGATGAATTTAACTAATTGCTTATAGATTAAACCATTTTGCACTGGAGCAAAAAGCTGTAACACTTTATTTTGTAATTATGTTTTTCTATGTGTTATACATGCATCATGAATTTCAGACTTCCGGTCATTGTGCAATACATACTTTCTGCTGTTAGGATCCAACAACCACACAATTACAATGTCTGAATCCCAAAACTAAAATATGACAATATCAGAACCAGAAACAAAAGTGATATGATTCAAAAGACTAGAAAAGATCGACTTTGTCAATAGACACATCCCAGTGGGAAAACAAACACGGAGGTTTGATGCTCACTTTTACTGTAAATTCTTCCCAGTATGAATTGCACGATGACCAGAAGTCTGAAATTCCTGATGCATGTATTGTACATAATGTGGATGAATGAAATGTGAAATGTGGGACCTGCCTCTCAAATCTGCAAAACCAATTTACCTTTGGGTACGAATAATACGACCTCACCCCAACCCTAACCCTAACCTAAACACTGAGTGTGGAGTGAATGAATGATGAACTGTAAAGAGCTTTGGGTGTCTTGAACTGCTTTATAAATGCTACGATTAATTAGTTAATTAATTAATATTGCTTTGTCTGGAATATTTCACAGTATGGCATTAAAGGAACAGTTGAGAATTTTGGACATAGGGCCTCATTTCCTAGTGAGCCAGAGTGTTGGAGACGCGTGGAGACACTTTTTGAAATATTCCATCCTTGTATTTGGAGAGGTTGTTGATGCTAGGCTAGTGCATGTCAATGGCCATAGTTCTCCTGCCACTAAAAACAGTCTTACCCACTCCACAAAACACCCGAAACAAATCTATTATTACACCAGACTGTCCATGTGTGTGTCTGTGTTGATAGAATCATTTTAGAAGTAAAACTAACTTTGCATTTGACGGATTTCTGTGTGAGCAGCAGCAGTGAGTTGTACTTCCTGATAGAAAACTCGGCAGTGGCGGACTGATATATGAGAAAATAGTCCCTCAACATGTGACGATTCATATGATGCAAGGTTAGATTTATTTCAAACATTATTCTATCCACACAGACATTTACACGGACTATTATCTCCACATGTCTCCAACACTCTGGCTCACTAGGAAAATTAGGCTGTATGCCCAAAATTCCGGACTGTCGCTTTAAACGTTTCTACCTTTCTTCATGGAGACCAAACCAGACCAAGTTACAGGTCAGATCTGTGGAGAGGTGTGCACACTCACAGTCAGAATGTGTAGGTCTGTTTAATGTCACACTGTGGAACATTCCAGGCAGAGCTATGACATTTCCATAAAAACAAGAAAGTGACTGACCCAGTACCGAAAAGTTACACAGTGCATCTTTAAAGTAGTGAGTTGATCTTGTTCTTGTGTGTTTCAGGTGAAAAGTGTCGCAGTTTCATAGACCTGGCTCCAGCTTCAGAGAGAGGTGAGGACATATTTCTGTTTCTACCTCATCCAGACTAACTCCACAGCAAAACAAACTTAAACTCTGTCAACCCAACATCATCAGGGGTGTAATGTATGTGTGTTTATGGGAACATGTTCAGCAGTTCCATGGTGACACAAAGCACACAAATCCGTGTATCATTCGTTCATTCGTTTTTCAATATAAAACCAAAAATAAGAAAATGAAAAAACAGCTATTTTCTTCATTATTTGTCTCCAAAACCAAAATAAAAAAACGGATAACGATTCGTTTTTTCAGTTTTCGATTTTGTGTTTAAATGAAGAATGGAAAAAACGGATAACGGCCGTTTCCCGTTTACGTGACTTCCGTGACGGCGAAGCTGGACTTTTGCACCGCATACGGACTGAACTAGGACTGATCCAGGTCCGGGACCAGAGTGGGACTTGAGCAGACTCCAAGCTTTGACTCCAAGCCTCCGCAGGGTCCGAACCCCAGCTTCGAGTTCCGGCTCTGCAATGGACTCTGATGGACCGTGACTAATGGACCAGACCAGAGACCGTGACCTCCGGTCTGGACCCGGTCTGGTCCCGGTCTCAGGGTGCTTACACACAGACAGTAGTTGGTGCACACCAAACGGTCCAAACGGACAGCAGGTCCAAACGAACTATTCCAACCAGTGGAAGCAGCTCTGGTTCTGTCCAGGCTCAGATGAGCTGGAGCGGGGAGTGATGTTAGGAGCCTCGGCCTGAGAAGTGCTTTACCCGGGGAAGAACCAAACGGAGGACGAATAGTCAAAACAATAACCAACCAAACTGGATTCATGCTTTTGTCCGGATGCATCAGTCCCGCTCTGCTTCTGGTCTGGTGCCGGTCTCAGTCCCGGTCTGGTTTCGGTCTGGACCCGGACCTGGATCAGTCCTGGTTCAGTCTGTAATGCAGTGCAAACGGCATCGCAGTCATGGAAGTCACGTAAACGGGAAATGGCATCCAGGTCCGGGATCACACCGGGTACAGACCGGGACCAGACCGGAGCTGAGACCGAGACCAGGCTGGGACCAGACTGGAGGCTCAGAGCCCATGGCAGGACTGGAGCTCGAAGCTGGGGCTCGGACCCCGCGGAAGTTCGGAGTCAAAGCTCGGAGTCCGCTCTGGTACCCGCTCTGGTCCTGGTTTGGTCCCCGACCTGGATCAGTCCTGGTTCAGTCCGTACGCGGTGCAAACGTTCGGCATCGCAGTCACGGAAGTCACGTAAACGGGAAACGGCCATTATCCGTTTTTTCCATTCTTCGTTTAAACACAAAATTGAAAACTGAAAAAATTAATCGTTATCTGTTTATTTATTTTGGTTTTGGAGACAAATAATGAAGAATGTTGTTTTTTCGTTTTCTTATTTTTGGTTTTATATTGAAAAAACGAATGAACGAATGATACACGGATTCACACACTAGCAAAAACCGCCACGTCTTTCTGGTCAGTTAAAGTCTGACTTGAGTAACGGGGCTTGAGACAGAGCAGTGCCTCTGGTTAGCATTGCATCCTGAGGGAAAGTGGATGACATCAGCTGCAAAGTATCAATAAAACGAGAGAATGATGTTTGTGCCACAGAGGACGTGTCTGTGGGCGTCTCTGTCTCTCACTGTGAGGACGATTTAATCATGAGAGCGGCACATGGCTCAGGTGTGAGGCCATCTGGAGCCGCGCACGAGGGGAGCGTGCACGAGGGGAGCGTGCACGAGGGGAGCGTGCACGAGTCTTGTGAATCAGTTTGTAATATTTGATGTAATAATAATCATTTCCATTGGTGCTTTTCAGATTGTAGAGCATGAGGATGTCAAATCTCCAAAAGCTGAACGCATAAATGTTAAACCTGACCATTTCTGTTAGTGCTGCGACAGAAACGTGCGTCTGAACAAGTGTCCTGTCTGTACTTAAATATGACTGGTCTGTAGGATGATGATGTCGTCTGAACAGCAGCTGTGTGTTTGGGGTTTTCTTTCAGCTCCATGTTTCACTCACAAACTCAGACATGACAGTTCTGGAGCTGAACATTTTAAAACCTGTTTGAGTTTGTAGTGCACGTGAGGAGAGTGCACGTAGAACAGTGCAAGTGAGGGGCGTGCACGTGAAGAGAGTGCACGTGAAGAGAGTGCACGTGTAGAGAGTGCACGTGTAGCTGTGCCCTTGGTCGGTGGAGCAGGACGAGCAGCGTGAATGTGACAGTGGTTTATGGCACAGCTGCTGCTCCCCACACCAACACCAACACTCTCAGACTCTGAAACTCTGAAACTCTAACTAAGACTCTCAGACTAAGACTCAGACCAACACTCTCAGACTCTGAAACTCTGAAACTCTAACTAAGACTCTCAGACTAAGACTCAGACCAACACTCTCAGACTCTGAAACTCAGACTAAGACTCTAAAACTCAAACTAAGACTCTGAAACTCAAACTAAGACTCTGAAACTCAAACTAAGACTCAGACTCTCAGACTAAGACTCTTGGACTCAGACTCTCGGACTAAGGCTGCGTTCAGACTGCAGCCTGAAGTGACCCAAATCCGATTTTTTGGCTTCTATGTGACCTGTATCCGATCTTTTAATGACAGTCTGAACGGCACAGATCCGAATTTTTCAAATGCGACCCAGGCCACTTGGATATGTGGTCCTGAATCCGATACATATTTTGACATGCGACTTCAGTCTGAACGGCCAAAGCGCATCCATCCGACCTACACGTCATTAACAAGCGACAAACGTCACTATTCTGCGCTGAAGCAGGCGGAAACCGGAACTGTAAAATTGCCAGGTGCTCAATGCTCGCGACCATATTTGGACAACTTCCGTAAACACAGAGCACGCTCGCTGCGGTTGACGCATGGGGTTGACGTCATCGTGTCCTCCAGTGCGCATGCGGGACACTTTCGGGCCGTTTACCGTTCACACTGAAGTCACAGACAAGTCGCATTTAATTGGCAATGTGAACGACCTCGCAAAAACATCGGATTTCACAAAAAAATCGGAATTGAGCATTAAGCCCTGCAGTCTGAACGTAGCCTAAGACTCTTGGATTCAGACTCTTAGCTACAGACTCTCGGACTAAGACTGAGACTCTCAGACTCAGACTCTCAGACTCAGACTCTTGGACTCAGACTCCCAGACTCAGAGACTCAAATGAACTCCTCCATTTAAGATTTAGAATTGAAAAAATAAAATCCTGAACTCAGACTAAACCCAAACTTGGTCCTTCTAACTTTATACATAACTGACTTTGGCTCAGTCCTGGTTCAGTCCAGGTTGAGTTCTGGTTTAGTCCTGGTTCAGTCCTTATATAGTCCTGGATTAATCCTGGTTGAGTCCTGGTGTACTCCTGGTGTAGTCTCGGTTCAGTCCTGGTTTAGACCTGCTGTAGACCTGGTTCAGTCCTGGTCTAGTCCTGGTTTAATCCTGGTTCAGTCCTGGTTTAGTCCTGGTTTAATCCTGGTTCAGTCCTGGTTCTTAGTCCTGGTTTAATCCTGGTTCAGTCCTGGTTTAATCCTGGTTTAGTCCTGGTTTAATCCTGGTTCAGTCCTGGTTTAATCCTGGTTCAGTCCTGGTTTAGTCCTGGTTTAATCCTGGTTCAGTCCTGGTTCAGTCCTGGTTTAGACCTGCTGTAGACCTGGTTCAGTCCCGGTCTAGTCCCGGTCCAGTCCCGGTCTAGTCCTGGTCTAGTCCTGGTCCTGGTCTTGTCGTGGACACACTCGGGGGAGCACTTGATCACAGTTGTAATGTCTCCCCCCGGCTCAGGAGGAGGGGCGGGTGGGGAAATCAAACGCACCCTCGCGGCCTTATATGGTCGTTATAAAGACGTGTGTCAGAGCTGTTTCCTGTTTGTGAGCTTCTGAAATATGAATTTGTAAAAAAAAGAATCCACCAGGGCCTCGTTAAACTCAGGACAAAGCAATAGATAGAAGTCCAGCAGTATTCATAACTGTCTGTGTAAAGGTTCACTGTGGAACTTTTTGATTTAGAGCTTTTTTATTACTCATGTGAACTTTGGAGTTATTGTTGTTTCTCCTCAAAAAAAAAAAAAAAAAAAAAAAGAGCTGGAGTTGTGTTTTGTTTCATTCACATGTTTGAGTAAATCTTTTTTATTAGTCTGTTTACATCTCCAAAGCTCCAGATGCTCTGTTCCACCTTGTGATGTCATCAAGTGGTAGTTTTCAAGTGAACAGCTCCTTTTATCTTTAGTTCAGTGGAGATTAAAATGATCCAGATGATTCTAGTGAAGGTGTGTGGAGTTTAAAAACACAGTGGAGCACTTCCTGTATTACCACATGATGACATCACAAGGTGGAACAGTGTTTTTAGTTTGAGAGAAGAACTACACTGGAAAAAAAACCAAAAAACTATATCTAGTTAAATTAAAATGAGTTAAATTAAGAATATTTTGCTTTATTTGATTCAGTTCGCCTTGAAATGTAAAATTATCTGCAAATGGAATAAATGTGTTTTTTGTTTTTTTTTAATTCAAGTGACATTTGATTTTGTTTCTTATTTTAAATGTAAAAAGTTGTTGTTTTTCTTATTTTCAGTGTAGCAAGATGTATTTTCATATTTTAAGAAAAAAAAGTCTTGTTCCATTGTCAGATCATTTTATTTTTCAAGTGAAATTTATTAAAATCAGGATCAAACTTTCTTAATTCAAGTCGTCTGAACTGGACTGGATTTAGTTTTTTGCAGTGTGAGTGTAAATGTGCAGGTTTGTGTGTTAAATGAAATGAAACAAAATAAAACTCGTGTCCAGGTCTGTTTGAGGAAACGACATTAGAACAAATCAGAACAGAGTCGCTTTAAAAGATACTCCAGCAATCCCAGTGTACGTGGAGTGAGGAGGTTTAAAGTGGGGGTAAACGATTCACAATTGAACCAGGACTAAACCAAGATTAAACCAGAACTGAGCCAGGACTAAACCAGGACTAAACCAAGATTAAACCAGAACTGAGCCAGGACTAAACCAGGACTAAACCAAGATTAAACCAGAACTGAGCCAGGACTAAACCAAGATTAAACCAGAACTGAGCCAGGACTAAACCAGGACTAAACCAAGATTAAACCAGAACTGAGCCAGGACTAAAAAAGGACTAAACCAGGACTAAACCAGAACTGAGCCAGGACTAAACCAGGACTAAACCAAGATTAAACCAGAACTGAGCCAGGACTAAAAAAGGACTAAACCAGGACTAAACCAGAACTGAGCCAGGACTAAACCAGGACTAAACCAGGACTAAACCAGTATTAAACCAGCACTAAACCATGTGTATGTGGCCAAACCATCTTGTCGAATCCTGATCCCGTCAGATCTCAGAAGCTCAGCAGGGTGGGGCCTGGTTAGTACTTGGATGGGAGACAAGTCAAGAGCCACAGTGGGGCGCTAGTGGGAATAACTGTTATTGTGTCCTTAGGCAAGACATATCACCCACATGAAAGTGGTGTGTGTGTGAGTGATGGTGGTGGTCGGAGGGACCGATGGTGCTGATTGGCATGGCAGCCACGCTTCTGTCAGTCTGCCCCAGGGCAGCTGTGGCTACAATAGTACCTTTCCACCACTAGATATAGGCGAGGTTTCATTGTTGACAAAAGTGTGCGTTGCATGCTGGGAATTATTTTGGTCGGCGGCAAGAAACACTAATTCAACATGACGGACGGAGCGAGAAAGCACGTAAAGGGTATTGATCCCGGTTATTTATCCACTCTAACGGCAGAGGACCCAAGACCATTTGACCAGAAATTGGTCATAAGCATCGACGGAGCCAAATCACCCTTTTCAACCCCGACAAAAGGTGAAACCAAACCAAATTTCTGGTCAGAATCACCAACTACCTGGACAAATATTCACTTCGGCGATATCCACAATGACTTGGTGGAAACTCCTGGGCCATTCACAGCAGAAAAGATGAAAACCTCCAAGAGTCTCGATGTGTTGTTGAACTTGTTGGAGTCCACGGTTTGTTAGGATCTTCTACGTTTGTTCTGTGAATGTTTGAAAGCCGTTTAATTCACTGTTAGTGGTTCTTTTCACACAAAATACGAAAAAGACATTTTCCTTCTTCCGTGCTTCTATTTGTGCATCCTGATAATGCAGCAGGAATTTACCATTATCGGGGATAAATACGAGAGGTTACGCACTGTGTTTGACCACTATCCTGTTTCTTGCCTCCGACCAAAATATTTCCCAGCATGCAACGCGGGCTTTTAATAACAATGACGTCAGATGAAACTCGCCTATAGAGTGAATGAATAATTCTGAAGAATGCTCTGTAAAGCAACTTTGTGATGTATGTCTATGAAAAATGCTATAGAAATAAAGACTTACTTACTTAAACCAGGACTAAACCAGGACTAAACCAGGACTAAACCAGGTCTTACCCCCATGGGACGCGGAGCTCTGCGTCGATTGCAGTCACCAGATGGTCTACGTGGGAGCACCTCTGGGCCCATCATAACACTCAGTTCTGGTTCAGTCCTGGTTCAGTCCTGGTTCAGTTCTGGTTCAGTTCTTGGTTCAGTTCTGGTTCAGTCCTGGTTCAGTTCTGGTTCAGTCCTGGTTCAGTTCTGGTTCTGGTTCAGTCCTGGTTCAGTCCTGGTTCAGTTCTGGTTCAGTTCTGGTTCAGTCCTGGTTTAGTCCTGGTTCAGTCCTGGTTCAGTCCTGGTTCAGTTCTGGTCAGTCTGGTTCAGTCCTGGTTCAGTCCTGGTTCAGTTCTGGTTCAGTCCTGGTTCAGTTCTGGTTCAGTCCTGGTTCAGTCCTGGTTCAGGTCTCTATATGACAGTAGTCCAGATTTCATGAGTCTGTGCAGTTTGTTTTCATCGTTGCCTGTAGCTCCAATTTGACATTTAAGTTGTAGCTATTTTATATTTGTTATTATCTTATCTTATATTATTAATTTAAGATATTATTATAATTTAAGATATATTATTATTTAGATATTATCTTATATTATTAATTTAAGATATTATTATCTTATATTATTAATTTAAGATATTATTATCTTTAATTAATATTATTATCTTATATTATTAATTTAAGATATTATTATCTTATATATTAATTTAAGATATTATTATCTTATATTATTAATTTAAGATATTATTATCTTATATTATTAATTTAAGATATTATTATCTTATATTATTAATTTAAGATATTGTTATCTTATATTATCTTCCGTTGGGAGAAGTGGGTGGACCCCACATACCACAACCACTACACCCCTGAGAAACCCTGTGCAGTATTATTATTACACTTCCTGCTTTCCCAACACACAACATGTACAACGCACACACACACCACACACAACACACACAACACACATAACACACACACACACACACACACACACACACACACACACACACACACACACACAACACACACACACACACACACACACACACACAACACACAACATGTCACACACACACACACACACACACACACAACACACACACACACACACACACACACACACACACACACACACACACACACACACACACACACACACACACACACACACACACACACACACACAACACACACACACACACACACACACACACACACACACACACACAACACACACACACACACACACACACACACACACACAACACACAACACACACACACACACACACACACACACACACACACACAACACACACACACACACACACACACACACACACACACACACACAACACACAACACACACATACACACACACACACACACACACACACACACACACACACACACACACACACAACACACACACACACACACACACATACACACACACACACACACACACAACACACACATACACACACATACACACACACACACACACACACACACACACACAACACACACACACACACACACATACACACACACACACACACACAACACACATAACACACACACACACACACACACACACACACACACACACACACACACACACACACACACACACACACACACACACACACACACACACACACACACACACACACAACACACACAACACACATACACACACACACACACACACACACACAACACACACACACACACACACACACACACACACACACACACACACACACAACACACACACACACACACACACACAACACACACACACACACACACAACATACAGAACACATACACAACACACACAAACATACAGAACACACACAACAACACACAACACACATAACACACATAACACACACACACATACACAACACACACAACACAACACACAAACACACATACACACAAACACACACACAACATACACAACACACACACACACACACAACATACAGAACACACATAACACACAACACAACACACAACACACAACACACACACAACACACACAACACACACACATACACACACACACAACACACACAACACACACAACACACATAACACAAACACGGGCGGCAGTAGCTCAGTTGGTAGAGCATTTGCCCACTGATCTGAAGGTTGGCGGTTTGAATCCAGCTCTCAAAACATCACAAAAAAAACATCTTAGGTTGAGTGGTCAGATCCACTGACCCACAGGTTGGCTGGTGTGATTCCAGCTCCCACAGATGAATGCTGCTGTTGTGTCCTTGGGCAAGACACTTAACCCCCTAGCCCCTAGTGTCTGTGTACACTGGTGTATGAATGGGTGAGTGGTTCCTTGTTGTAAAGTGCTGTGAGTGCCTTGAACGTGGAAAAATGTGACCATTTACCACACACACAACAGGTCAAACAGGTCAAATCCTTCAGTTGACCTGGAGATGGTCCCACATCTCCTCACACGTTTAACTAGAGACACTGAAGGATGTGTCAAATTCAGAGAAATTCCCTCACAAGGAGACAATAAAGTACCTAACATGTTTCTCTCTGCTCCACTCATCGTCTGTGTCAGGAGTGCTGTGGCTGTCCGTGGTCTCGGAGGTCCTGTACATTCTTCTGCTGGTGGTTGGTTTCAGTCTCATGTGTCTCGAGCTCTTTCACTCCACCAACGTCATCGATGGACTCAAACTCAACGCCTTCGCCGCCGTCTTCACCGTGCTCTCAGGTAAGAAAGAACCGTCCAAAGTGTTGAGAGTCTGATACAGCCACATTAACTGTGAAAAAAAAAAAGTATATATATATATTTTTTGGTTGGTGAAAAAAAAAAAAAAAAAAAAAAAAAAAACACACTTAGAGAAAATAGAGCCCAAATGACTCTTTTTTTTTCTCTCTCTCTTGCCTCTCAGGGCTTCCAGGAAATACTTAGGTTCTGAGTGTTTTTTTGTTGTTGTTTTTTTTGTTTTTTTCATCAGCCACATTAACGGTGGAAAAAAAAAAAAAAAAACAAGAGAAAAAAAATAACAGTATAATTTTTTTTTTTTTTTTTTTTTTTTTAGAAAATCAAGCCCAAATGACCTGCCTCTCTTCTTTTTTTTTTCTTTTCTCTTGCCTCTCAGGGCTTCCGTAGTTTTTTACATCTCTATTAAATGTGCATAACAAAAAGCTCTAATTACGTAAAACTCCATCTGGTGTTTTTGAAATTGGCAAGGCGAAGTGTCTTGCTCAAGGACACAACAACACTATGCACTAGTCAGACATGGGCTTGAAGGTTTGTGGGTGAAGTTCTGCCATTAACTCACTGTCACCACGTTAGTCAACACGCTGCGACTAAACTAAAGCTGCACTCTGTCACTTTTCACTTGAGGCTCTGACACTCGCTCGTCGCCATGGAGATACTATTGCTTTACCGGGAATATTCCACAGTAAAACATTAAATAAAACATGTGTCATTAAAGAGGCACCACCAAGCGAAGGAGAGATGGTATTTTCTTGAGTTCTTGCATTTGCACATGAATGACTGAATGAACACAGATTTAATGCCTCACTGCGGAACATTCCAGACAGTCTGACTGGTTTAAATATGTTTGCTGTTGTTGTTTGTGTTAGTGCAGCTCTTTAGTCGTTTATCCTCAGACTTTGTTTTGGTTCAGATTCAGCTCAGATTAAGCCGAGGTCGTCCTTGAACCTTCTGCTCCTGACTTTGTGCCAATGAGCAACACATAAACCTCTTAGACCAAATCCACTGGCACCGCCTTCACTGCTGCTTTCACTGCCCTCGCACACTGTGGGACGTTTCAGTGCATGAGTTAGTCCACAAATGACTTCATTTGACAAAAATCACTTTGAATTATTTACATGCTTTAGTCCTGCTTTAGTCCTGGTTTAGTCCTGGTTTAGTCCTGGTTTAGTCCTAGTTTAGTCCTAGTTTAGTCCTGGTTTAGTCCTGGTTTAGTCCTGGTTTAGTCCTGGTTGAATCTTGCTTTAGTCCTGGTTTAATCCTGGTTGAGTTCTGCTTTAGTCCTGGGTGAGTTCTGGTTTAGTCCTGGTTTAGTCCTTCTCTAGTCCTGCTTTAGTCCTGGTTTAGTCCTGGTTTAGTCCTAGTTTAGTCCTGGTTTAGTCCTGCTTGAGTCCTGCTTTAGTCCTGGTCTGGTTTAGTCCTGCTTTAGTCCTGGTTTAGTCCTAGTTTAGTAATGGTTTAGTCCTAGTTTAGTCCTGGTTTAATCCTAGTTTAGTCCTGGTGTAGTCCTAATTTAGTCCTGGTTTAGTCCTAGTTTAGTCCTGGTTTAGTCCTGCTTTAGTCCTGGTTTAGTCCTGGTTGAGTCCTGGTTGAGTCCTGCTTTAGTCCTGGTTTAGTCCTGGTTTAGTCCTAGTTTAGTCCTGGTTTAGTCCTAGTTTAGTCCTGGTTTAGTCCTGCTTTAGTCCTGGTTGAGTCCTAGTTTAGTCCTGGTTTAGTCCTGGTTGAGTCCTGGTTTAGTCCTGGTTTAGTCCTGGTGTAGTCCTGGTTGAGTCCTGCATGTATCTTCAAACATACAGCACAGAGTGAAGTAAAGTTGGTATTTTCTGAGTAATAAAAGTATTTTAGTTTCTTTCACGTCCTGCTCAGAACAGGGACACACAGTTCCTCTGGAGCGTCTCTCGTGTGAGGGTCGTGTTGATGTGCACTGTCCTCTGTCATTAAACAAATAAACTAAACTAACTGATCTTACACATTTACAGCAATAATTTATTCCTATTTTAAAGAAGATAAAACATATGTCCAGACAGTTTAATATGAGTCTATATCAGGACTGGGACATAGTTTTTTTTTCCATGAGGCCACATGAGAAACAGAAAAAAACTGTGGAGGCCAAAATGCTTCACTCAATCCTGCAGAATATAAACTGTATTTCTTTATAAAAAAGTATTAAATCTTGTCATTTAGACGAGCTGCTCAGACTGGGAAGAGTTTATGTTCTGACTAAACAATGAAAAAGTGAAACTGCTGAACAAAAAATGTCATTTTAAAACACCTCTAAAATTAAACAATGCAGCTTTAGTTCATGCATGAGGTCAAATGATAAAATATGTTTATTTTGTAATTACAAATGAGCTTAAATGATCAGAATCAACAAAGAGCTGTATAGTGTCCCTGGAGCTGCACAAGGCCCAGGTCTGGTCTTTATGATAACAAATCGAAACAAGAGTTTTACATCAGACTTGAACCAGGATTTAAACAAATGTCTTATTATTGTTTGAAAACACAATAAAGAAATATTTATTTAAACGAGGAAACAATACAAAGTTTCAGTTTGTTCGTTTTAAACATAAGATTTTGGCCTCTTCATTTCTGTTCTAATCTGCTCTGTTCATCCTGCTGCCTTTTCCCCGTTCAAAGTCTCCCTGAGTTCGATTTTCCTCCTGAATCAGTTTTCCGAGGAAGTTGCCTAGCAACAAACATGACACGCCCCGTTTCCTGGGACGGTGCGACTCAAACCTTGGTGCTGGAAAAAGTCGACTGAGCAAGAATTACAAGTCAGAATCCAAGATGGCTGTGATGTGTAAATATGAAGTGTTTTCATTGTGTTTTTAGTCACTTGTATTACTGCAGTACTTTACCTCGTCTGTATTACTGCAGTACTTTACCTCGTCTGTATTACTGCAGTACTTTACCTCGTCTGTATTACTGCAGTACTTTACCTCGTCTGTATTACTGCAGTACTTTACCTCGTCTGTATTACTGCAGTACTTTACCTCGTCTGTATTACTGCAGTACTTTACCTCGTCTGTATTACTGCAGTACTTTACCTCGTCTGTATTACTGCAGTACTTTACCTCGTCTGTATTACTGCAGTACTTTACCTCGTCTGTATTACTGCAGTACTTTAACTCGTCTGTATTACTGCAGTACTTTACCTCGTCTGTATTACTGCAGTACTTTACCTCGTCTGTATCACTGCCTGTGGGTTTGATAGTATAACTGCAGTACTTTACCTCGTCTGTATTACTGCAGTACTTTACTGTGTCTGTATCACTGTGGGTTTGGGGATCGTGTTGTGGTGAGGCCAATATTAAACAAATACTTGATTTATCGATTTATCGTTAACGTCCGTAAGTTTGTAAGAGAAGAGAAATCAAAACATAAAATGAAGAGCAATGATGTCAGCTCTGCCATTGTGTCCTTGGGCAGCACACTTTACCCATACTGTTATAAGTGGTAAGTGTAAGAGTAAGGGCTCGTTGCAGTTGGATCGGCAGCCATATCTGAGCCAGTCCGCCCCAGGGCAACTCAGGTTCGACTTTTCTGCCACGATTCATGATTCATGTGCTGTTCTGAAAGCAACACCGTGATTGGTTCATTCCGCCTGTCAGTCACTCAGAGCATGACGGAGGCTGACCAACAGGAGGAGAGGCCACATTAAAGCTGCACTGTGTCACTTTTCTGGTGGAAGGTGCTGCTTAACTTCATCAGAATGTTCCACAGTAGAGCGTTAAACTTACCTGTCTCCAGGAAAACAAATACGTGACGCCAGCAGGCCAAGTTACAGGTCAGATCTGTGGAGAGGCAAGCCCACTCAGAGTTCAAACGCAGGCTTTTCAAGGTTCTTTAAGCAGAGTGGCAGAGTGGTTAGCGTCAGAGTGGCAGAGTGGTTAGCGTCAGAGTGGCAGAGTGGTTAGCGTCATCACGACCTGTTTTACTGCAGCAAAAGGAACAAACGGAACCCGAGTGTTTGTGGCCGTGGACCAATGAAAAATGTCCTCTCTGAAAAACTGTCAGAACAAATCAATAAAAGTGCAGAGTGATTGTGTCCTGAGGCCGTCCAACAATAACACCACACTCTGTCCTTTAAAGGGCACTGTGGAACTTTCCTGACGCACAGGCTCGTCTCCATGGAGATGCTGATGCTTTGCCTGGAATGTTCCACGGTTTAGGGCATTTAACATGTTTATCTAAAGTTACAAAAAATATATCTGTAGGACTAAACGGGAGGGAGGAAGGGATGGGTCTGGAGGATTAAAGGGGAGAGTGAGGGGGTGGGGTCTGGAGGACTAAAGGGGAGAGGGGGAGGGTCTTGAGAACTAAAGGGAAGAGTGTGGGGGGGTCTGGAGGACTAAATTGGAGAGTGAGGGGGGAGGGGGGCGGGGTCTGGGGGACTAAAGGGGAGAGTGTGGGGGCGGGGCGGGATCTGAAGGACTAAAGGGGAGAGGGGGGTCTTGAGAACTAAAGGGAAGAGTGTGGGGGGTCTGGAGGACTAAAGGGGAGAGTGATGAAGGAGGAGGGTAAGGGTCTGGAGGACTAAATGGGAGAGAGGGGGTTTGGAGGACTAAAGGGGAGAGTGAGGGGGGAGAGGGGCGGGGTCTGGAGGACTAAAGAGGAGAGAGGGGGGTCTTGAGAACTAAAGAGAAGAGTGTGGGAGGGGGGGTCTGAAGGACTAAAGGGAAGAGTGAAGGAGGAGGAGGTGCGGGGTCTGGAGGACTAAAGGGGAGAATGAGGGTGGAGGAGGGGAGGGGTCTGGAGGACTAAAGGGGAGATTGAGCAGAGGCGGGGTCTGAAGGACTAACAGGTAGAAGTGAGGGAGGGGGGGGGTCTGGAGGACAAAAGGGGAGTGTGAGGGGGAGGAGGGAGCAGAGTCTGAAGGACTAAAGGGAAGAGTGGGGGTCGGGGTCTGGAGGACTAGAGGGGGGAGGAGGAGCAGGGTCTGGAGGACTAAAGGGGAGAGTGAGGGGAAGAAGGGGAGGGGTCTGGAG